TTTTTCTATATTTTAGCAAAGAAATAGGTTTTATTGTTTCTCCAGGGTTGGATTAATTTATTGCTGAGAATGTCCTAAATTCCTTGGAGACTTCCTGGCTCATCAACATATTGCAAACAGACCTAAAATGCATTCTTAGGATAAGTAGTTTATCAGATCATATTTTTGTAAAGGAACTGCACAAGAGAATGACCTAATTCAAGCATAACATGCTCAGTATTCCTCTTCCATATCCAAAACATGAAAAGAGCAGAAACCTGTGAAAAGATCAAAGAGATTTCAACAAAGTTGTTAAATAAGCTAAACCACACTACTCTAAATCAAGTGATTGTCACATTTAAAGTCAGATTCCAGATGGATGGCTTTCATAAAGAGATCTCAGATATATTTGATCCAGCTGCTGAATGGATAGGCATATGTATCTTCAGGAAAAAAAAAAAAAAAACAAAAAAAAAACACCCAAACAAACAAAAAACCAAAACCAACCAAACCCAAACCACCGAACTAGGGGTTTGTTGGTTTGTTGGTTTGTGTTTTTTTTAATGTACAAAGCACCTAATCTTGTGGCCGCTATTGAAGAATTGAAGGGTTTGTTTTTAATTTTTTTACTAGTCACCTACCAATAACAGGACTCTGCTTTACACCCCCAGTCATCATTTGCTTCTCACTGGACATCAGCATCCTGCAAAGTGACTCTTCCTCAACAGAAGTACAAAACAACCATTAGCAGAGTCCTAATTAAACCAGACTATTTAGCAATCTGCAGAAATCATGGTGTGATACAAGCTAAAGAGCAAGACCTCCATCACTGACAGCTAAGAACAGAAAGTTTGCAACAGAGAGCAGCCAAGCACAGTTACTGCTTTTGTAATGATTTTCCATCAGAATCTGGTTTAACTGTTGGATGCTCATGGAGAAATCATCTGGTCCTTCCTACAGACCCCACCAACACCAGAGCTGTTTGCCTATCTTCTCTATAATATCCCTTTCCCTTTTTCATTTCAGTGGGTGAACAGCACAAGCTCTGAAGTTCTGATCAGTGCTCAGGTTCTGATTTTGCGCTACATCAAACTGTAATGCCTTTCTTTCCTCTGCTTATATGAATAAACAGACATAAACACTTGGGCCACCACATTTTAACAAGCTACCACCAGTCAGCTGAGCAGCAGCAGCTGGCTGTTTGACCACTGTGCTGCAAGGTTAAAGCAGAAGGTTTTCCTTTCCAGCTGCAGCAGGCCCGGAGCATGAACAGGTTCATGAGTTGCCATTTGGCACTGAGAAGCTCTCCATATCCCACATCCTTTTCCCGACTTTTTACAATATGCAGCTGGCCCACTTAGCAGGAACCTGTCTTCAGTACTTTCTCAAACACCAGTAGGGTTCCTTATAACCTTTAACATACTTAAACACACAGGGAACATTGATTATAACAGTCCCTGTACTGTTGTAAATATTGAAGTACATATCACAGGTGCAGTCAGCCCCCAGATCCCAACCTGACACTTTTTTCACCAGATCATCACTTATTTCAGCACTCAAGTCTGGGTCCCACTGACTCATTGTTTTACCCTGTAATGTATGATGACACATTAATAACAGCTCTGTTGATACATACTATAAACTGTAGTAAGAAGCAAAAAATGGGAAAAAAAAAAAAACAACCAACAAAAAACAACGATGAGAATGAATTATGAAAGCACATGGAAAACATTTAAAGACTTCTACTGATTGAAGAAAATAAAAAAGAAATATCAAAAAATGTCTGAGCCCAGCCCCTTTGCTGTTCCCCATGCTCTCCATATGCTCATGAGGATCTGTATTCCCATTGTCAGTAATAAACAGCAAACTCTCTCTCACCCCCCCACTGAGGGGTGCTCTTTTGAGCACTAACTGGTAAATCATTAAAACAGAAACTCGGGAGATCTCATGGGAGTACTTTCTTTCTTCCTTTCTCATGCTAGAAATCAGAGGCTATGCTGAAAGCTACTATAAACATCTCAATTACCACTAACCTAGCTTGGCTAAAAGAGATCCAGAAAATCCTAAAATCATTCCTGCAAACAGTTTTTTGACCTGAACCCATTAATCATGTCATGTCTACTCTTCACCCTGACACATATAAAATCAGTCTTCGTAGAAGCTTTTGGCTTAAATTCAGGAGCATTGGATGTAATTTGGCAAAATAAATATAAATGTTTAGCTGTGTTTTACATTTGTTTACACTGATTGTAAAACAACACCAATCAAGCTAATTTGGTGATCAAACCAATTTTACACTCCACAGGGTAGAAAACTACTAGAAAAGCAACTGAGAGCAAGGGAGTTTTCATACACAGAGATGGGACCTAATTGTGGGTCCTTTTTCATGGAACAAGTCAAGAGTCACCGCTTTAGTGGTGACAAATTAGCACAGATATGATGCGCCCACTTTTCCCAAAAGTCTTCCCTCATCTTTTCTTACATACAGTCTTCAAACAAGTAATTTTATTTAATTTTTTTTTGCTTATATAGATATGGCTACATCAAGGCAATGTGTTGGACTTTGCACCTTAAACCTCTCTATATGTGCTGAATCTGAATATTTAATCTGCCCACTGTGAAAACAAGAAAATCTAGATTCTAATCCATATCTTTAATCTCCAAGATCTTTTAGGTTTTGCCTCATTTTAACGCATTTTGCACATCCCTGAGTGACCCCCAAATTCCTCAGTTCACTACACCTGCTTCCTTCATACAGATTTATACCCAGGCACACTTTTATCAGAAGGAAAATTAGGAAAAGGGGTTGGAACCTCTCCACTAACACTGCACGGTTCACTTCTTAAAATCTCAACTGTGCAGCTGCCTCTCCCTTCCACCCTCACTGCATGGCCAGGTGAGGGCTGCAGTCACTGTTTTTATACCTTACTCCTAATGTACGCAAATATTTAGAACCTATCTGACATCCAAGTAGTCTATCTGTGAAATGGTAGTAACAAAAATTCCACAGATATGTCATAGGGATATGAGAATAAAATAAAAGACTTCTCATAGCTCCTCTGAAACCATTTTTTCATTACTGATCTTGAAAAGAAAATAACATATTTGAAGTACACATCTGTTAAACTCCAGTGAAATTAAAAGAGAAATTAACAGGATTCCTTGTTCTTTTTCTCTTTGAAAATGTAAACTACTATGTATACAGTAATCATGATATGATAACTTTCAATCAGGTTAGAAATAATTTATTAAGGGGGGAGGGGAAATAGGAAAAGAATACCCTGAGAATCAAACTCATCCAGACAAGCAAAATAGAATAGATGAGGCCCAACTGGCCGTTACCCATGGTCTTGCTGTAAAGACCGGGCAGCTTTCACAAATGCATATAATTGTGAAAGCTTTTGCCAGAAGACATATAACTGACATCCCTGCCATGGTCAGGAAAGGCATTTTTTTATCTATATATAAAGCACTACAATAATCAGAGTAATGATCAAAGTTAATCAGGAACATCCCTATAAAACAAAGGTTGAATTGACTCCATATTTTCCTATAAAATTACACATTGGTTAGAGTCTAAATGTAACTGACTTAACCCATTATTTGCCACAGACAAATATGAAAACTTTTTTTGTTGAGAACTTTCCAAAAATCTGTGTGTGAGCTATTTCCCCTTATGCTTACACCTCAGAGGAATTGCTGTGAACATGGAAGATGCATCTTCATAATACTTCTCTAAACCAGTTCTTAAAACTCCCCTTCCAATAATGTGCATGAAAACACAGTAATAAAACTATTGAGCCTACCACAGCCTTGCTTGTTTCCTTGGATGCCCCATCTACATGTCCGCATCCATCATTCATCCCTTGGTCTATACTATTGATTACAAGCTTTTTGAGACACTACTTGTTGTTCAATGTTTGTACACTCTGTACTGCAATAAGTTCTGAGACACTATTCTAATACAAACGAGTTGTAATAATGAAAAATTTCACCCTTCCACTTGTTAAAAATACAGCAGCAAAATGTGTAATGCTTAGAAAATGGAGAGACGTTATTGTTCTTCAATAGATGATGGGACCATCAAGCAGTTTAGCACGTGGGCCAAAGTGTGTAAACACACATGCGCAAACACATGCATTTTGTGTCACATGATATAATTCTTTGGCTGTTACCTACACAGAGATTTTTTTAAAGATATCTGTCCAAAGGATGTTACAGAACAGGTTTGTGGTCATTGCTCTCTACTCTTACTGTTGTCCTTCAAACTGTTATATCCAGCCATGTTGTCAGAAAGTTGAGCCTGGCAGCCCTGGGAGGGAAACTGAAAAAATCCCCTTTATTAAGCATTGCATACGCCACTTTGTTTTCTGTTCATTTGCCAGAAAAGTCAGAGATCAGAGCTTGACACTGCTCAGGTTTTGCCATCAACCTCACTTGATAATTCATACACAAATAATTCTGAAAATAACTACCAGAGTTACTGAAAATGGCTCGTTTTAAGGGGTTCTTAATAAACAATATCCCAAGCCATATGCAGCCTTGATCTTTTATTGCTTTTAAACAGGCTTTTCATGAAAAATATTATTCTTTCAGATCCAACTGCATCACCACTTTATTTCAAATCCTCAGAGATTACGAAGGAAAACTCTTCACTTTCCATGACAGACATCAACATTTATCAGCTATTACAATAACAGATTTCAAAAAACAGATGGACATGAACAAAAAAAGTGCTATTTGTTTTTTATAAATGGGGTTGATACTGCAAGACCACTCTCCAGTGGCAGACTCTGATTTTGGTGATTTTGCAAGAAGGACCACCCCCTAGATTTTAGCAAAGCTGGAGCTGACCAAGTGGAGCTATGGACTCACAGCTCCAGCTGGTTGGTGGAGTGACATGCAGCAGAAGTGGTTAGGTAATGGGTAGAGCTGTTCAAAAGCAGCTCCCTGGTTATGCACATGCA